ATGTATTTGATAATCATTGATGTAAGAAAAATGGAGTAACTTGTTTAAGTGAATTTTTAGTACTAAAATGCATCAAAATGCAGGATTTTGGGTGCCGGACCCCCCCTTACTTGGCTTCGATTATTTTCAGGATTTTTAGGAAAGGAACACTTTCATCTCTGAGCCCAACAACTACATTATATATATATGTATATATATTTATACTATTAAGAAATATAAGTAAAAGCCATTTATTTCAACAATTATATAATATATAATATTATTTTTAAAATCTGACACTATGCCTGATGTGAATTGAAGAGGAATGTCCGATCCAATCCTGGTGCATCTGGTTCAGACTGGAATTGACCTCCTGCTTACAGTCCGACACACCCCAGCCACTCTGCACATGTTACACTTCCATTTTCGTTTTGGATGTATCTTCTTTCCTCCCTTTCCATGACACACCAAATATTTGTTTCACATGGGCAAAGAGTATTCCTGATTCAGATGTGGTGCAGTCTTCCACAACTGTGTTTCTCGTTCAATGACAACACACTCCGTGGGGACACTTCAGATTCTTTTAAGGAGTGCTCATTTAAGTGAATTTACACCAGTCCCTCCACCTGACCAATGTGTGGTTCTAGCTGTAACTGTGAGAGGAGGTAAGTGAATGTATTGGAAGTTAATATTTTTCTACGTTGAAAATATATTTCCAATGGATACTTACTTACACTACCCACCTGTCCTCCCCACTTCTGGTGTTGATATTTTTTTCATGCCTAATCTCAAAGTGAGGATTGGGTTCAACTTCATAGAGCTGCTAATAGAAGGGTGTGTCACACTCCTGTTGGTGGATGATTGTTGCATGCTCATTTGTATGCTGTGATGCAGCTAAGCTATGTGGTATACATATGGAGTTAGGTGGGAGTTTTAAGGTTGGTGTCGAGCAAAAAATTGCACAATAGAGGGTAGTCAAATCGAGGATAGCTGTAACTGTGATAAGAGGTAAGTATCTATCATAAATATATTTTCAGTGTAGGAAAATTCTAATTTTGCAGGCACTTCTCTGAGTCTTCACAATGCAAGACCCCCCCATCTCATCTTAAGAGTGGAGTATGGGAGACCCTCCACTTACCAGTTCCTAGCCGTTAGGGTAGTAGACCATAAGAATCCTCACTGTTTAGATGTAACACAATACAGTGTGAAGTGGGACAGTGGATCACCCTTTAAATCATAACATGTATCTCTTGTGTCAGTGTTTCTCAACCTGGGTGCCTCGAAATGTTAGAAAAATATTATCTCTATGGCCACCACCCTCTGGCTATGCCACTGTTAACTAGGCTATATATAAAATGTTAGGAGTACCATGGAAAGTATAGACTGTGTAGGGGTGTGTTGAGCAAAAAAAGGTTGAGAAACAGTGCCTGGTGCCCTCCTCCTCCTCCTGCAGCCAAAACCTGTTCAGTTGAGTCGAGGTGAGCACACACTGCTCTATTCCTGCAGCTAGAAGCTGTTCAGTAGAGTTGAGGTGAGCACACAAGGTATGGCCTGAATGAGCCTCAACCACACTCCACATGTTGGCTTTCTGACAACTTGTGTGTAAGTGTTCTGATGGCTATGTTCTCATTCTGCCCATCTCTGCAACATATAGGACTCATTTGGCTCTTTCCCATACATTCTGTGTGAAGAGTATACTCTGGTTGGAACAAGATGCAGTCTCCCCTACGAAGCCCTTGCTATTGGGTGTCACACTCCATGGGCTTTTCTTTGGATGCTTTCTTTAGGGAACTCATCTAGTTAACATTTTTCACCGACTCCTCCACCAATTCAACGTGGTATTTTAGCTGTGATAGGTGAGTTATGATCTTGGAACTTAATAATTTCCTAATCTAAAAATATATTTCCAAAAGGTACTCACTTTTACACACATTGCTCATTTTTGTTTTGCTTCATCAAAGAATTAAGTTATCATGTACACAAAAAAGCCATCTTCCTCAGGTGTCTGCCTAAGATATTTGCATGCCACTAGCCTTGGGGTAACTCCCACCTAGTTTCACGTGTTTTAATGTGAACTGCGCTGGTCCATGATAACACACTTGGAGGTGAGTATCTATCAGAAATACATTTTCAAATTAAGAAAATATTAACTTCCTCTTTAAAGTAAAATCAAAGTGAACTCATCTAAATAATTGGTGTGAGCCATTTGGGACACAATTGTAAACATGTTTAAAAGGCCATGTCATATTGACTATCATAAGATAGAGCCGGAAAGAAATTATATTGATTCTAGATAATTTATCTGGATGTTTTGTGAATGTCTTCTTTTTTTTTCTCTATTGGAGTCAATTCTGCTAGATTTATTGATGTTGTTTAAAGGTGTTAAGAGTAAAATTTAGTCGTACATTTGAGAAGAAGTGACTGGAGTTTTTGGATAATAAAGAATTATTTGAATAATACAAAATAATATAGAATATAAAGTTTTAATCTTCAAATTCCAGTTGAAATGTTATTTTAAGTTTAAACAATTTATACACATGATAATCTTTTCTAATTCCAGGAGAGAGACCCTACTCTTGCACTGAAGATGGTTGTCAAAAATCCTTTGCCACTCAGTATAGTTTAAAAACTCATATGCACAGGCATGACAAGACAGTTGAAGAGGTAAGACTGATCTCTCTTTATAAGGGATTGGTCATTTTGACTAACCTTGTAACTACCATGTAATCACAATGAAAGTATACGTACTATAACTTTTAATGTTGTTAGTATATCTTCACAAAATTTGTCAAACTTTTGTGCACCAAAAATCAAACTTTTTAATTAACTGTTTTTCACTGTTAATATATGGAGTTACAGGGTGACTTGGACTAGTCTGAATGCAAGATGATTTTCATGTTAAGATTAAAGATAGCACACACACACACACACACTATAACTGTTATAATTCAATCAGCTTTCTAACTAAAGTAGAAGTGCCTTAAAATAATTCCATTATCTGTTTGATCTGAGCCTTGGCAATAATGCCAAAAGCAACTTTGAATCTGTAAGCTAAATAACTAAACATCTGAACTGAGAACAAGATAGCATTAAATATGATTTGGTAAATTAAAACATTGTCTTTCTATTGGTTATAAATGATATAATAGCAAACATCAGAGAGAATTATTGGTAACTTATGAAAGAAAAAGTGTTGCAAGTGGGTTTGACTTTCTGGTTTGTACCTCCATAAATAGAGAAGATTGAAGACTATAAAAATTAGTCTATGCCTTAGTAATAACTATGTGATGAGTAATTTACATTAAACTGTGAACATCATAGAGAGGTGATGAAAAATAGAGAAGCAAAGATTGAGAATTTATTTAAATATTTGCTTTTAAAGTTCAGAAACTAGAGCTTTATTATTTATTAACCATGTTTTAATACCATGTTTTTCATATATATTGATAATAAAGTAGTTTAATTAAATTTTGAAAGTAATTTTATAAAAAATCATGCCATGCTTTTATCTATCCATTTCGAGAGGATTAATCTGTTGTACTTTTACTTGAAATAGCTTAAGGTATAAGGTTTTTATTTTTGTATTTTCAATCACCAAATAAAACAAATGTTTTGTTGACCAATGGAAATTTGTAATGATGTAAGCTATACTAATATAAAAAGATAGGAGGGGAAAAATTATAGTATTATCTAATTTTTTTTTTATATATATAATATCTTTACAAAACAACATATTTAGAATTTTCAGTTTTTATAAACAAATTAACGATAGATAAAGTATTATAATTTTGAAGTGGGTAGTATTTATTTGTCATTACTCAAACCTGTATGAATGTTTATACTTACAAATAGACCTATATTGTAATGAATAAACTTAATAGTATGTGAATGTATTGACTGCTTTTAATTTTGTAATCATTGTTACGTTTTGTTAAGCCAGAATGTATATGATCTAATATTTGTTATGTCTTTTCTTCATATCACAGACTACCAGCCAAAGCTTAACCATTTACCCTAAAAGTTCAGAAAATTTAATTTCAAGTCCAGCTGCTGAACTTATTCCCATTGCAAATGACACTGCTTCCAGCCATATTATACTTTCCACAGTACCACCTAGTGGATTAACAATTCCAGTCAGCCAGCAGCCAGAGCCCCTTGTCAATTCTTCCATCATAAACTCTGCTGAAATTCTTCCAACACCCATCACATCAAGCAGTATCATAAACCTTCCTCTATCGAGTGTTAGATTTGAAGGAGTTTCTTCTGGAAATGTGACTGGTAAGACTAGTTATCATGTAAATAAATTTCTGTTATATTGAAAAGTACATTTCTTTACAACTTTATTTTCTTTAACTTTTGTTAAAATGGTGACAGTCAATTGCACAAGAAAAAAATGTTGTGTTTTGTTTTCATATTTCAAATTTTAAAATATTGTTTGATCTAATTTCCTCAAATTAAGATAGAGTTTTATCATTTTTATATAGATTCATTGAACTTTTCTTCTATATTTATATGTTTTACAGTTTTTTCATATTTAAAAAGTATTCCACCATTAATATAGGTTTAATATGAATAGTGAAGAAACATTGAATTTTTAGTATGTTATAGATGTGTGTAACATTTTGGTTTTATTTTATTACAAGTTACAGCTTTTACAGTAAGTAAGATTTGTATTTAAAACATTTCTATTTACTGTAAAAGCTGTAACTTGTAATAAGATATACTTAATCAGTAAGTAAACTCAAAACAAAACTAGTAATTTTAGTTTTATGTTTGTTGTGAATGTTGTTATGGAAGATTTACTTTTTTTTCTGGATTCCTGATTTATTTTTATCACATTGGTTATATGTTGCTACTTTTTGTTTTTAACATCTGTGTCTATTAAAACTTATTTATATTCTGCATTTTCAAGAGATGATTTTGCTTTTCTCTTATAAACTCCTCATGGTTAAAACTCAAGTGTTCTGTTTAGCTCACTTTCTGAGTATTATCTTTAGCTTTTTTTTTTTATAACTTTTTTTGTGGGTGCTTTATATGACTTACTTCTTGGATTCTTATAAATTTAACTGTTTATTTGGATGACATCTCTGACTAATATGTTTTTCTGAATGCCCTGTTTAACTTTTTTGTACTTTTTTTACCTTATTTCTCTAGATTGGTAAATCATAATGTTCCTTAAGTTTTTAATGTTTTTTTTGTTTTTTCAAATTAAAAATGTCAATTTAAAAGTTTTCACTGTACAGGAAAGGTTAAATGGATGAATAAAATCAAAAAGTAATTGTATAATGTGAGCTTTTCCAAACTTAAAACTTCATTGTTCAGATTTTAAGGAAAATATAGTTTGAATTACTGTTTCTTAATAAGTATGTTAATAACAGTAGTAGTATATTTTCCCCCATTTTTTTTTCATACCAGCTACATAATCCTTACAAATATGAGTTTATTTTTTTTACATCCAAGTTTTCAGCACAAGGAAAGTGTATTTGTGTCATACAGATTACTTTCTAGGTTCATAATATAATGTAACTTTAGAAAATAATCCCACTTGTTTGAAACAAAAAAGTGTTGGTTGTTGTTTAAGTTTAAACTTTTATATTTTTTAAAAGTTCAGTCCCAATGTTATTTTTCAGCTTATGCAGTTATCCCCATGGGAAGCTTGGAGCTAGCTGCTTCAAACTCTAGTTTAACAACAGAATTTCCTGTCAGCAACTTGTTAGTACCAGAAAACTCAAGTATCAAATCTCTCCAGCTAACATATCCATCAGGACTTCAGGTCTTTGCTCCGTCCACTAGTGTGCCAGCAACCAATTCCAGCCAGGATGATGATGATGAGTCTCCTCCCACAAATGCAGAGTTTCAAGGGAATTCTTCTGCAGTACTTGAAGTTGTAAATGTCCAGCTTCAGACTGAATTGGATGAAGAAAACTCTGAAACCACTGTGGACATCATGTCAGCAGCTCAGGCAGAAATATGTAATTGTGAACCAAATAAGTGTAGAAGGGAAGAGCATGGTTGCTGCTCTAGTTGTCCAGGAAATGCAGATATCTGTGGTGAAGAAGAGAAACAAGACTTCACAGGATCAGCTGTTGTGGACCAGGAAAATGTCACAGGACCAATAGTGGCCTTAGGATGTTGTCCAGAAAATGCAGACGTTTGTGGTGAGGAACAAACAGAGAGTTTTGCAGGATCAAATGAAGTTGCAAGTCAGGAAGATGTGACCAGATCTACAGTAGCCTTAACATATGATGTTCCAGAAGTGAAGCAATCTTCCTGCCAAACATGTGACATCAGAGGAGCTTGTTCAGCTTCTAGAAATGTGACGTACCAGGATGTGGGTGTCAACACTGATCCACCAATAGATGCTTTTGAGCCTGTGTCAGTAGGGTCAGAATTTATTTCTAACCTTTCGGAAATCTCTGTACCTGTATCTGAAGAAGTTTTTGATGGTAATCTTGGCATAGAAGCAGAGAAAGTAAGAGATCAAGACATTGTTGTTTTAGAGCAGGACTCTCCCAGCTCACAAGAATACCCTAGCTTCATTGGTAACTTCCCAGATGTGACTGAAAACTGTAGATTTGAAACTATGCCAACCACTGAAACAGTCATTCCCGCTCTGAATATGAACTCCTCTGTTCCACTGTATAATGGTTCTTCAGTCAGTACAGTCAACTCGGAAATGGTATTAGTAGACTACCAATCAGGGCAACAAAAAGATTATATCACAATGGAGTTTGACTCTAATTTGTTGAATGAACTTCAGAGATGATGGAAAACCAAATAATATTGTAATCAAAGTAAGGACAGTGTCATACCAAAATTAATACTACAGAAATCTGTATAGATATATATATATGTATATGTGTGTGTGTGTGTTTATGTGTGCACATCGTGTTCTTACAATTGTGCAACACAATCTTATTGTTTAGTTTTATTCATGTGCTTGACCAAATTCTTGTTGTTTAATATCAAAGTAATCAATTACATTTGTGATATCTTGTTCCATTTATTAACTTCTTGAGTCATAAGCAAATGAGAAGTTTTGGTTTCAGGTAGTAGGTATGTTAAGAACCATGATGTTCTGCTACCTTGATAATCTAGTATTAAATTATCTTGTGTGTCAGGGTTTCATTCTTTAAAAGAAAAAAGCTGTTTCCTCACAGTTATATGTTAAAAAGTTGCACTTCATACATGATCATGTTTCTGTCAGACTTATGGTGTTTTACATGGTTATGTACAGAACTTGTGTTCTTCACTGGTGCAATCTGTGTGTTAAGTGTTTAATATATGTATAAGTGATAAGAACAAATGGTTTCTTGAATGTATAGTTTTTATTTACTCCAATTTAGTGAGTGTTCATAATCAGGCAGTAAGCTTAGGTGCTAACACCATTAAAATAACTGATTTTCATTTTAGCCCACATCAGCCACTGTAATATTACTTTAGAAAGATATGAAAGGGCTGTCCTGGTCCCCAAATTTGTGAGTTTGTGTAATGTTTTTTATGTTTAATTGAATCAAGTTATATTAATGATTTATATGACAGAAACAATGAAACAAGTTATTTATTTAATCAGTACATTTTATATCAACTGTTGTGCCAAAATATAGGGTTTATTCATGTAAAGTAAATTGTACTTTACCTGGAATGTAGCTACAAAACCAGAAATATTTATAATATTGTTAAAAGCTTAGTCTGAACAACAATTGGTAATAACGTGCTGTATGAAAGTGCATGATAACTGGAAGATAACTTACATCTTATCATATTGTTGACAGACTGTATTTGATCTTTAAACCCAGTGAAAAGCTGTTGTCCAGACAATTGTTGATAATAAATTAGTTATTTTTCAGAATTTTATCTCTGTTGTTCTTTTCCTTATATATTATATTAGTGAAATCAAGCATTTATTAATGGAGTTTTTAATTAAAGTTTTAAGATTCAGTACACTGCTCCACAGAGCTTGACTTTTGTTGAGTTCAAAATTTGCACATATGTGCTCAACAGAAACAATTTGTGTACTCCAATAATCATTATAATTGATTAAGAAACAACAACTTACTCTTTTACTTTGTCTTCTAGAAATATAGCCATATCACTGCTTTTACCATGTATGCTTTATTCTGGGTTTGTAATTTTCACCATTCTTGCATTATTCTACATTCATTGATTTTTACCATCCCTTGCTTTAGTCTATATTTATTGCTTTTAATGTCTTTTCATTGTTCATTTCTTTTCACATTCATGCATTAGTCTGTTCATGATTTTACAATTCAAGCATTATTGTACACTTATTATTTGAATTAATTGCTTTTAACTAACTACAAGGTTGTTTTATTGACAAAAGTTAACAATTATGTTAATTTTTTAAACTGTTTCAAAAGCATCTCAGATAAACAATTTATTATGCAAAAATTTATTCTTTGTAAATTTATTTTTACAACTACTTATATTTGATTAGTGGGATTTCTGGAGCCAGGTAAAATTTAAGTTTAGAATATAGAAAAATAAAAACTTTGCCTAACTGTTACACCATGGTTAATTTTAAAGGTATAGTCCCTGTATCAGACAAAAAAATGTTAATGTTATTGATGCTAAAAAATAAACATGAGCAGAAAGACATGTACATTATTAACTATGAACAATCAAAGAAGTTGCTTAACAAAATAACATCATCTGGGGTTTGAAACAACCACCTACATGAATAATATTAATGACATCAAAGCGTTTGCAAAAACTACAGAAGTTTAATTCAAAAGAAATAGAAATAGGAAAAATATTGATGTAATATCGGAAAGAAGTATTACCTGTATCTTATCTATTTGTACATGTAAACTACTATTCTAAAGCTTATATATATAAATATGTATATAATTATTTTAATATTTGCTAGATGCTTTTTTTTCTCTGCATGTAGATGTATTTTGGGTAAGAAGTGGAATGATAGTTTTTCATTCTCATAATTTTATTTTTAAATTGATCATTGTCAGCTTCATATTTTGTATTTAGGTATAGTTACTTTTTGAAACATGTTTGTATTTTCTGAGCTTTATTAGGAGAATAGAATAAACATATATTTTTGTGTATTTATTATTAAAGGTTTACCTAGCCATGCGCTAAACTAAAGCATTGCTGAGTTTGTTCAAAGAGGAGCCTGAGTCTGTTACTTGTTATTCAAGACATTTTAATGTTTGAATACATTGAGTCTAATAATGTACTGAGGCTTTTCTAATTTTATTCTTACAAAAGCCAAAGATCTGTATATATATATACATACATATGTTTTCATGGTTTATTTTGGAAACTTTACTAATTCATAGATTCTCAATGCATAAGATTATCAAAATTATTACTTCTTTTCTATGATAAATATAAGAAAATAAACATCAATTCTACTGAGAAGCAAAAACAGTAAACATTTTTTAGCTTTTATGTTTGTTATGACTTTTGGTTGCTCTCCTAAAAATGTAACTTAAAACCCTGAAAGGAATGTGTGTGTGTATTTTTAAGAAGCTGGGATCTATCATTTACTAATGTTATCTATACAAAATATTAATACATTTGCTGCTGTAAAAAAGATGCAAATTAAAAAAATCCCACCAAATATCAATTGCCATATGGTAGTGTGTTTTGAAGAAATAGTAAGAGTTGTATATAAAACTTTCCGTTAATGAGTAGCATATAACATTTTTAAAAAATTGCATTATTTGTAATAACGGGATGGCTACTTAATTTAGTTATACAGGATGTACACAAATGAACGGTGGGGTTTTGTAAGCAGATTGGTAAAAAACAGATACTCACTGTGCATTGAATTTTTGTTTATTTGATTCACTAACTTCAAACGTTTTTGTAAATGCAGTTTTATCCATTTCAAAAGGTTTGTAAAACAGTATTACACAACTTCAGCGTGTGCACAATTAACAGCATGGCACACATCATATTGATAATCAATTTCTGTCCATACTTGGTCAAGAATCTCGAGCATAACACTTTCAATTGCTCTAGTGATGCTTTGTCATAAGTGAGCCAAATCAGCAATCTTTTTGCCATACAAAATGTTCTTCATATGGCCCCACAGAAAGAAATTTAGAGGCATGAGGTCGGGACTCCTTGGAGACCCTGCAATTGGCCTGTTTCTTCCAATCCATTGGTTGGAGAATCTGGCATTCAAAGCCCTGCAAACAGTCTTGAACCACCTCGTATGTTGTTTTCATGTGGCAGATCTTTGTTGAACTCTCTTCTAAATTGTCGTTGGACCAACTTCACCGACTTCAACTCAGATAACCACAGAATGCATGTTGCCTTTTCTTGAATGGTACTCATTAGAACAGAGCCCTGCAACATGAAACACTACTTTTAACAAAACTATATGGGCATATAAATAAGTGGATATGCGTATAATGCTGGGTATTGTAGTAGCGACAAAAATTTCAATGTTGCAATATCTCACCATTCATTTATGTACACCCTGTATTTATTGCTGAGCAGATTCTGTGTTAAGTTTGAACTACACATAGTTTTATTTCTATATTATTAGCCAATACCAAATTTGTTATGTTCACTTGTTTTTTATTCCTTATTGGTAGATCTATGCTTACATAATAAATTCTTTTTAGTGAAAGCTGTTTATTTTTGCCTTGCATGGCCTGATGGTTATATTGCTTGACTCACAACCTGTGAGTCATAGGATTGAAATCTTGTACCAAGGTTGCTCACTCTTTCAACTGTTGAGGTGTTACGGTTTGATAGTCAATCCTACAATTCATTGATAAAGAATAGTCCAAGAGTTGGTGGCAGGTAATGCCAACTGATTCCCTTCCTTGTGGTCAGTAGTTAAAAATTATGGGTTGCAGCGGATAACCTCAGTGACTTTACCATTAACAAGGTTCTTGTAGGGTGGTAAGTGCCTTTTTGTAAAATCCTGTTAAAGTATCTTTAATGTTTCATTTACTTTTCAGGTTTAAATAGTAAAGTGAAGAATATTGTAACAAGCCTTTTCTGTGTACTTTAGCATTTTAATTTCAAATGTTGAGAGATTATTTGTGTAATATAGTGTTAGTGTGCATTAATAAACATGACATATTCCAAATATGTAACATTTGACAAAAAAAATGATTTAAAAACTCAGAATTGAGAAGAGGAATTGAACCCTGTGCTTTCAATTTCATAATTGTCTTGTTTTATGATTTTAATATTTTTGTATATGCATAGTGTAGTATTGGCCAATAAAATTCAGTTTACTATTTCTCTCTTTAGGGAAAAAAAAAACAAAAAAAAACATTAAACACTAAACTGTAAATTGTAGCTGTGAGGCAGCTAGTTTATGAACTGTCATGAAGATTATTATACCAGCATATTTTTGATATTATATAAATATAAAAATATTTTTTTCAGTACTGATGTCTGTATTTTTGTTTTGAAAGTTTTGTTAATACACATTAGTAGTTAATGACTTAAGTAACAAAAAATGTGCAGCTTTTTTTTACTACTCAAGAGAAGTTACTGTTAAAACTATATAAGTTCAATATATATGTATAAGTTCCTGGTATTAAATGTTAAGCAATATGTTTAGTTCATCAGTTAAGCCAATGAATAATCACAAATAAGAAATTTGATAACCTTTGCTATCCCAGAAGGTAGATCTTCCTTCTTCATGGTTGAATTACTGGGTTTCTTATTTTGTAATTAATTAAATTTTTAATCCTGTGTAATGTTCAAGTATCTTGAACACTGTGAATGTTTACTGAGAAAAATTTTCAGAACAAAATGTATGTCAAGGCACTTTGAAAAGCATGGTTCTTCTTGATTTTAGTTTTAACGTTTACTGGGTTCGAATGGAACCATATATAGATTTTAGTACAGTTAAAGTCTGTAACAAGCTACTTTAAGATGTATGCTACATTCAAACTTTCCAGACCTGGCAATCCCTTTTCTGGCTAATTTCTGAACAATGGACAGATATTGCTTTAGCAGTAAATTTTTTAATCACATTAATGTCTTTTCTGTTCAGTGTAAAATACTGTGCACAGTAAAGTACAGTAGTGTCCAACAAATGTAATGTTTTTCTTTTTTCATTTCAGATAAGTTTGCAGCTTATCAAGATATAATAATAAATACTGTATTTATTATTTTATTTTTTACTGTGCAACAAAATATTTTCCCATGCATATTACCTTCCTCTTGATGTAGAATACACTATACAGTATTATGTACAATAAAATGCAGTATAGAAATGTAGTTTTCTTTTTTTTTTTTTAATTTTATGTATGACAATAATATGATCCCAAGATCTGGCAAGGCTCAGGTCCCAAGGTTGCCAGATTTGTGAGAGACAACTGTACTAATGTAATCAGTATTGTTTTTTTACATGTGGTATCTTTAGATAAAAATAGTGTGATATTTGCTGTTTATGCATATAGATAATCACAAATTTAAACACTGTGAGCTTTTTATACAAAGGATATAAAAACTTGTTTTTATCTGAATTTTTATACTTAAATATCTATCGAATGCATTAGCCTATATGAACAGAGGTTGAGTACATTATATTAAAACAAGCTTGAAGTCTTAACACATCATTACAATCCATGTCGTCACGTCCGCTCTAACTAACAACCATACATCTTGACAGGAGCCCTGCAGAATAGACTCCATTTCTAAAGGCTGTCACACCTCTCTGTACTATCAGTAATCCATATAGTATGCAAAGATAATAGTTTCCCACTACTCATTTTATTAGTCCAGCAACTTGACCAGTATCTCTTTGTATGGAATATAATGATTATACATTTCATTTTTCTATCGTGTAAGGAATGTAATGGTTGAATGGAAAATATGACTGGAAGCCTTGTC